TTACATTTTTAGTGTTTCAAGTTTTTAAATACAAGTTTAGAAAGTGAAAAAGATTTTGTTTTAATATTATGAATTAATATATTAATATAAACTGGTCAGATAAGAATCATTCATCGAATTGGCTGGGGGCTGAGTATTATCATACTAGTTTTTTACTATTAATAGTGAATATTGTTTTTTTTTTAATTCATTAAATTATTATTTTTATTATTGGGGATAGGTGGGTTGCATTCATTTTTTCCTTGAAAAGCCCCCCCCCCCCCCCCAAAAAAAAAAACGCTTTTGAAAAAGTCACTATGGTCGGCCTGTGTAATTAGGGACACCTGTCCTCACGTGCCATTTCAGGTGGAGACACGTGCCGCGAAGACACCTGTCACTGTGTATTTTTTGTATATTCTATGTGAATTGAGACGGTTTTGTACCTAAAGGGAACAATGGGCTGTTGTCGAGCATGTACACACACTGTCTCAGACCGAAAATTCTTTTAAATTAAGATGATGATTCGTGTTTTTTTTATCATTTAAAAAATTGTATATTTCACAAAAAAAAGTTATACAAGAGAACATATTTATAAAATAACCTACATTTAAGAAGTTCAATGAAAGAACAAACTATTTAGAATTTTTATTTCAATTTCCATTACTGATTTAAAATAAAACTCTCTTCTTTAGAAATTAAATAATTTTCTATAGGTATTGAATAGATCTTAATTCTCGTCGTGTATAATTATATTAAATCAGAATGACGTTAATAGATCAATGTGAAATCAAAACTGTGTTTAATATTGTTGATGGGTTTTTGTGTGAAATTTGTAATCTAACGCACTACAAAGACATTAATTTTATTAGATAAATGTTTATAATATAATTCATCACATAAAACGTTTTTTTTCCTCCATTTTTTGTTTAAATATGTACGCAGATCCCCGTGTAGTAAACGCCTGCACTTTTCGCATGAAATTATAATGTAGGGTCCTAAATGCACATGCATTATATTTAACAAACTTTAAAATTTTCAGGCATTTTTTTTTCTCCAAAGGCCATTGCTCTAGATAAAGAAAAGTCTATAATATTTTGCATGATTTTTTTTCCTTAAGAACAATGGCTTTTAAAATAGTGCATGCAAAGGCAATCTATTAAAAGAATTAATTGTATAATTAATTCATTGTACAATTGTCACGATAGTATTTTTGTGCAGTTTTTGTTGATTTCATTCTATAAAGGTATGAAGTTTGTCAATACTTCAACAAACATTTCTTTATCTATGTTGTACACTACTTTATTTTTATTCGCCGACATGCTACTCTTTAAAAAAAAAAACTTGGGTGACTAATAGACTCGATCTCCAGGCCTGTATAGGAAACTAAGTAATTTCAGTTAGAGTAATAAACTAAACGGGATTTTAATTTTACTAGCATACCTTACCAGATTTCTTAACGAAAAAAAAAAAAAACATTGAAAGAAATACAGGGCAGGACCAGCTAAAGCTGCATGCATAAGTACAGCCCTGCACATCAACGAGTATAGATGACTTTCGACAAATCTTTCCCATGACTTCACTTATACCAATCACGACTAAAATACTATATCAAAATACTGTTATATTTTCCTGCCTTTGATTAGATGTTAGTTTTGTTCCACCTAGAGATATAACTTTCCTAGATATAACTCTCCTAAGAAAAAGGTTTTCAACATTCTGATTCATTTAACAATTTTACGTGTTAAAATGATGTGGGAAATTTTTTTAGCTAAAGGCCAAGGAGTTTAAAGTACAATGTACATGTAGCAATTAGAGAAAAGTCTAGCAGGTCCACCAGTAATATTGATAGCAGGCTCAAAATCTAATTAAACCCCGAAAAGGAGGGAGTTCAATTAGTAATTTAATCCCCCCCCCCAAAAAAAACACAACAATTTATTAGCAATGAATTATTAAACACCGAACTTTTCAATCATCACTATTGAAATAAAAAAAACTGTTCTTGATAATCATATTATAATTGTAGCTCATTTTCATGCCTTTTAGGATTCCTGTGGAAAGTTCACAATAAAAAAATGTGCTTTTAAAAATTTAACATCTTTTGGTGTGACATTATAAATTCATAATCATACATGTAACAGTTAAAAGAAGCGGGGAGAGGGGGGGGTACTTTCAGCAAGGACGGCCACTACCAACAACCATAAAGGGGAAAAGGGGAAAACTTAATTAAATTCTAATATAAGATCTCTTAATCACACTTAATCATAATAGTGAATGTAAACAGTTTATATTTCCCATCCTGCATCGCTCTGTAGGCGCTTTATTTCATTGGTCAATTTCCCGAGGCGCCATTTTTGGCGCTGATACTAAAACAAGTCCCACGGAGAAAATAAGTCCCACATGAGTCCTACGTGAGTCCCACAGCAAAAGAGCCAATAAATACATATAATAAAGGGTCATTTTGAAAGAATATTACATTTATATGATCATATATCAAAAAAAGTTTTGATAAAATGTTTTAAGTGTGTTAAATAGACGATTGTAAATTCAGACCACAGTCAAGAGCGATAACTCTGTTCAAATGTAAACAATAGCCAAGAACTATATTGACAATGTTTAAGTACTGCTGATAGCTAACTTTTTTTTTCTAAAAAAAAAAAAAATAGATATTTGTAAAAATATATTTTAATAAGTAAGTTAATTTAATATGGTGCTATTTCTGAATTTAATTTGTTCTTCTGTTTTACTTGAATTTTTAAGTTTCGTTTGAAAATATTCTTCCAATTATATTAAATACAACTCAAAGTAAGTTTTATTTTATTATAATGATTTTATATTATTACTTTGTTTCTTACAAACTAAAATAGTTTTACTGTGGTTTTATGTAATTTAACAACAACTTGGTAAGTTTTCCTGACACCCAATGTTTATTGTGTATATACACAGAGACCTACAGAGATATGTCCCTGGTATACCTGTATACAACACCAGGGGGATGTTATTCACACCTTTCAATCTCCCTGTTGTTTGTATACCCATAACAATAACTTTTGAACAAAGATGGAGCTAGGTTACACCATTTTGAATTCAAATAAAATAATAAATTAAATGTAGAATTATTGAAATTTCAGCTACTATTATGTATGACAAATAAGGTCATTAATCAAAAATTTTTTGTATTTGATTTCATAAATAAAAACATTCCTTGAAAATTAAATTAATAAAGAATTCTGATTTAGAATAGACTAAGTCAGCATAAACTGTATTCACTATTGTAAATTCTTGACTTGTATGAAAAGATTCCAAATAATAGTATTAAAGGCACAACCATTGAAGTTTTGTATTAATTTGTAGAACAAATACCATGCAGAGAAGTAACTGTTATCTGTCCATTTTCTCTATTAAAAAATGTGTTTATTATTCATCATGAAAATAAAGATAAAAATTTTGATTACTAAACAAATGTTAAAGCCAGTTTACTCCTGGATATGGAACTTGTCAAAAAAGAGTATTTTTAAAAATAAACTTGGAATTTTATATTGATTTGATTTACACCATGAATTATATGTACACCAAAAAAAGTCAACGAAATTAGATGTTGAATTTAATTTTGATCTCAAAGAATTTTTTTTTAATGAATGAATTTTATTTTTATTTTATATATGGACTTCAGTAGCCAAACTTTAATAGTCCATAACTTAGGTTCTGAAATCCTGCAATTGCGTTATTGAATGTCAGTGAAGTGAAGTAACTATTTATTGTGCATTATAAGAATTGTAATTTGCATAAACAAATAAAAAAAATTATCCTATAATTATAAGACGTGCTTTTCATCTTCGACAGAAGGACTTTAACAGAATTAAAACATATGTTATAACTTAATAATAAAAACATTTTCCACAAGTTTATCATATTCATCAAATATATTTCCAGGATACCTGAATACAAGCCCATGCATCTGAGTACTAATTCTCTAATTAACTGAAAGTTTTTCACAATGCAAGTGTCTTTAATGGTTGAAAACGCTATCTCAACTCAGTCAACTGGAATTCTGATTTTTGCAGTTTGATTCCTCATTTCACTTAACTGTTATAAAATACAAAGTATTATAAAAGTTTAATGTAATTTAAAAAAAAAATTAAGATATCATTAAAATACTAGTTTATCACTGTTGTCAGATATAAATCACTTCCAATTTCATACCATGTTATGAATGAGTAAACTAGTTCACTAAAAATCTTTATCTTTAAAACAATACTTGTAGGTCTATATAATTTCCTAGGACTGTATAGTCGTAATTTTCAAAAGAAAGAATGGCTTTAGATTATAGATTTAGATTTTACATTGCACATATTAACTAAAAATCTCTTTCTCATATGCTTAATAAATACAAGACTAGCATTGAAAAAAATCATTGAATTTCCCAAGGTTCTGATGTTGTAAAATTGTTAAATTTATATAAAAATTGATTGTAAATGTCTGTTTTTGGTAGTAGTTTTTTTAGTCATTAGAACTGCTACAGAAGGCATAAAAACCAAGGAACATTGTTAAAGTTTCATAAAATCTTTAGAATTAAAATTTGGATGGCTTGTTACTTCAATACTTGAGGCAGATGTAAGAGTTATTGCTCTTTGTTTATACACGATCATTAGAAAACATCTTAGAACTTCTTGCATTTTTAAAATAGAATTAATTCAATAATAAAATTATTATATCTTTTAATTTTTGTTTTCAAAAACTACTAAAATGTTATCATTATTGTTGGGATTAGGAAACACTATAGAGTTATATGAGGATATAGGAGTTATCGTTCTTTGTTTTTGTAACTAATCGTTGTAACCGGCTTCTAAAACATTTTTTGTGACAAAATTTTATTCAAAATATATCTAAACAATGATAACCTATAAAGATATGTTGTTAAAAATTAATAAAATATCATATTTACTGGTGGGACTCATTATTTTTCTGTGGGACTCATGTGGGACTTATTTTCCCCGTGGGACTTGTTTTAGTATGTCCCATTTTTGGAGGATCGAGAAGGACGAAGAAGAAGGTGTAAGCAGCTGGTAAATGTGAAAAGTTAAGATGGTTTCACCACCCAGTGTCTTTAAGACTGTGATAAATGCAATGGCCAACGATGAAGGATTAGTGTACGTATATTTTTGTTAATTTTTTACGGTAAATAGTTGTAATATTTGGCAACAACAATTCTTCACTATCGGAGGCAACTTTTGTTCTGACGCCATTTTCAAAAGTTGGATACCTAAGTTTTAAATTGTTAAGTGTATATATTGCAGAGAGAAAGAGAAATTGAGAGAGAAATTTGAGACAGTGATATAGCATAACTTAGATTATGGAGGCCCCAAAGGCACCGTGCATGTGCATGCTGTATGTTGTAAAATGGCAACTTTTCGCCTTTTATCATGTTTATTAAAATGTATGCTCCATATGTATGTTCTCTCTCTATATATAAATGAATACTTTTCGGAATTAAAAAAAAAAAATATTTTTAACCCCGCTCAAATAATCCGGATGATAATAGTTACACCGAGCATGGTTTCGTAGTTAAATTCAGACTGTAGAACATCCGGTTTGAATACAGTGTTTTCTGACTTTTCGGATAGCCAACTCTTGTTTTTTTGGAACTTACGACTTATGGACAGGTATAAATTAAATAGTTTTGGTTCAAAACTTTGATAAAGCATCGATATTTACAAAAAGTGTCTTCAATCTCAGCATATCCGATTATTCATGAAGGATATCCTCATCAGAACAGTCGGAATAGATTGTAGCGAATAGCATAACCCTTAATCATATGCATGACGATGATATGGAGGGAAAATACTCGTACATAAAAAAAGTGAATGTAGGTGAAAGCCTGTCCACTTTTCTGAAGAGATTAGGTTTGTTTTATTGTTTATTGAAGTAGTTTACTGCTCAAAAGATTTTTTTTGTAATGTCTAACCTGTTGAAATGAAGATGAAAAAAAAAAGAAAAGCCTAATAGTGAATTAATATTGATAGTATGTCAAGAAATGCAAATGAATTATCAGTTTTTTCACAATTATTGACCTGAGGAGGTCAATGTATAGCGAATAATACATACTCTTTTCCATATCACATCCTAGCCCGAGACACCAATATTAGCCAGAGGGACACAGGCCCTAGGGCTGATATTGGTCGAAGGTCTGATACAGGATGTGACGTGGAAAAGGGTATGTTTCATTATGTTTATTACAAACTTCGTAATAAAATATAGAACACTTCAAGCTGAGAAGATCAAGAAAATAAGTAAATAATCATGCACAATAAAACTACTTACATACATGTACACGGTATTGTCTTACTAAACAGATTTAGCTGTCATTAGGTCAAAATTGCAAATAATAACATGCTTCTTATATCTGTATATACAGGTAACTCTTGATGGCTTGAACTTCGATTTCTCGGAAGTTCTTGATCGCTTGAAGTGAGTCTCCAGTCCCCATTTTTTCCACTATATAACTAAGCAGATTTGCTCTTGATTTCTTGAACTCCTGATCTCTCGAAACCCTTGATCCCTCGAGGTCAAAATGCAGTCCCTTTGTGCTGTGAATTTTACCCTTGATACCTCGAAGTGGCTGTGTGTATACCAAGTTATAATGTTCAAACTTTTGCCATAACTGTATGTCTGTGTGTCTGTCTGAGTGTCTGTTGTCAACTTAAACCTTCACCATAACTTAAGAACTATACGAGATAGTTGCTTCATATTTAGTATGCATATTCCACTAATGAAGTGCTTTCAAATGGCAACAAGGACAATGATTATGTGATCTTGACTGTGACCTGTATGCTAAAAAAAAAATTGCTTTTTCGAACTTTGTTGCTGAGTTTCACAAGCGCATCTTGTTTTTAGCTCTACTGGTCAGAGACCAGAATAGCTTATGCGATAGTAATGCATCCGGCGTCCGTCCATCTGCCTGTCTGTCCATTTGTCTGCAAACACTACTCCTACTTAAATTTTAGTCTGATTTCAATATAACGGCACACAAGTAGACTATACTAAGATACATAATTCTGTGCATCAGTTTTTGATAAGTACAAACCAGTAGAGCTACAGTCTCAACAGAGACTTCTTGTTATTTTTTCTTCCATCCCGGTTGTTGCTAATTAGTGATGGAACGATTGTCGCCGACAATCGATTGTCAGTCGTTAGAAGCTCGTCGATGCTATTAATCGATTATAAAATAAATGTCGCCGAAATCGCTAACAAAAAATAAATTGTCATACTTTAATTTTATTACCAAATCCAAGTGGAAAGAGCATAAAAGTAGTAATGAATGTTGAAAACATGGAAGGATTCCGTGTCTTGTTGATACCTTTACCGCCATGATTAAATATGGGGTCAAACTAAAACCAGGAAACGTTGAAATTGTAAGGTTTTACTATACAAAGGAAAACATAATAGAGTCAATCTTTAAATGTAATTTATAATCAGAAATACAAGTCTTACGTCTGGATAACTACTATTAAAACTTGCAATTTAAACTAATTAAAACTAATTTTAAGAAATAAATACATGTATTTAAATGAAAGGTGGGACTAATATCAGTAAAATACCCATTGCATGGACTTTATGAAAAATAAATTCCAATTCTGTTTTAATAGTCCTATACCATTTACCATGTATACTGTTTAAAGAAAATAAAATATTATTTTCCACTTTTTAAAAAAGAAAATTCAATTTTTGAATTTTTTATGTAAGTAAATGATTTTTTTGTCTGACAGAAATCTGAATAAGTTTTAACTTTTCTTTATTAATTTCATTGAAGTTCAAAATTTCGATTATAATCGATTATTAATTGATTATGCCCAGCCGATTATTTAGACCCATCACTATTGCTAATGCTATTACATAATTAGTTTAAATTAGAATGCAATAGTACCTGGACATAATTTATCATTTCAGAGAGAAGAAAACTGTGTGACTTTAAAAGAAAACCAGTGAGATAAAATCATAGAAAATGTATGATGATTCAGGATGTGGTCATTTGGTAAGTGGTAATTCATTCATGATTCGTATGTATATGACAATTGCCTGAAAAAGAAAAAGATTCTAAATTTTATTTAAATACTGAACTGTGGTATATCAGCTGTGAGCTGCAAGAAGTTTTATGTAAAAACTAGGGCTGAAACAATTTGCCCCTCCATGTTATGTGTGTATTGCTATGATTGACGTCACATACAATCAGTTCTCTAATACATACACTTCAATAAAACTTTGTCGTCTCGAACCTGAATTGAACAGGAAGAAACTCTGAGATCTCTCCCAAAATTTGAATGAAAAAAAGGAAATGCTTATTTACTGATTTCTTGCTGGTCAGTATTTTGATTACTTAAAGGAAGCTTTCCTTTATTTCATAGATATTCAATGAAATTATTTGAAGTATTAAATTTTGGTAAATTTTATGATACTAAAAGGTTATATGAATGAAAAACAGCATGCGTGTATGACAATAGGGCTTAAATTTTTAATGTCTCTTAATTTTTCAGTGACATTAAAACAGGAATTTCATCACCAATACACAAATTTCACATTCCTAAGAGTTTTCTTCAATTGTCGGCGTATCGCTCATTTTTCCCACTTTGTCCTTTTTATGTTTTTAAGTTGTTAATATTTTCAATCTTCAAAAATATTGGACAATTACTGTCTGTATCTGTATTGCCAGAGTATGGGGGCAACATGAAAATCATAATGAATATGTTCGGCCATATGTTCATACAGATTTTATTTCTAAGATATTGTCCCTCAAAGTTGATACGGTTAAAGAGGGAAAACAGCATCTTAAGCCGGTTGACCCCAGATCGACCCTGCGAAGGGGAATAACTTTTGTAAATGTGAAATTCCCTTATGGTATATCATATAGATCTAAAACTGACTGAATTTTGATCAGCCAATTCATGAACATGATGAAATAAAATTTTTATAATGGTTCAAAAGTGTAACATATGTTTTGGGACACCCTGTACATTTATGGTATCTCTGAGTCTCCCATTGCAGTTTATAAACTTGTTATTTATTTCTTAAATAAACTGAGCGTACATGCAATACCGGTATAAAATTACTCATAAGATACATGTATATTTAAACCATGATAAAATCACATGTGTCCAATGCAGCATATGATAAATCATTAACATACAAGTACATGTGTATCTATACTGTAATACATATATATATTGCATTATTTTTAGGTCCTGTTCTGTGGATGCCCTAAGACAGTGTCTACCCATCACGCCATCTGATATCACTTGTTCTGAGCTTGTTTCTCTCTCAAACTTAAACTACAGAGAGCCTGTGGATAGAGGATGAAGAGTGACCTTGGACTAATTTTCTAGGTCAAAGGTCAGTATCAAAATCTACTGTATATCTTTATCTAAAATTGTAGTCCAGCTAGAGTATATTTCTCCCCTGGTGTAATCTAGCTTTTGTGCAATGGGTTGGAGGGTCTGCAATGATCTTCATCCAATTTCTAGGTCGAATATCAAAATTAAGAAAAAAATCTCTCCCTAATATTTTTGTTATTATAAAGAGTATGTTTTCTCTCAAACTAATCAAACTTAAAGCAGGGTTCTTAGTATGAGATACATGTAGTAATATATTCTCAATGACATAATAAGGCTGAAAACATTATTTATATTATGTTATTTTTTTCACTTATCATAAAGCATTTAATATTAAAGAGATTCATTAAATGCTGAAATCATATGTATCATGGTCATGGAAAGTAATTATTGATATTGCTTTATTAAAGGACATTGACTGATCTTTCAGAAGTTATATTCAAGCATTATAATTCTGTCATCATATAATAATTTTTTATGAATATTGCAGATCATAGGTGATGTGAAGAAAACCAGGAAACTGATGTTGAAAGAAGTACTTAATGACCCTTATGAATGGACTTAAATGTGAAAGACTGTTCCATTGTTTATCTAAGATATATGAATTTATTTCATATTTTGATATCATTGAAAAATTCAGTTATAGTTTTTGTACATCAAATGAATTATTAAACATATGAAATGGTAATGCTTTTTTCTTTTACATGTAATAAATTTTTTTGATAGATTTTTAGAAGAATACCCATTATTTCGCATTGCTTCCTTTAGAAAAGTTCGGGAATCTTGAAGTTTCCCAGTAATTTTCACCAGGAATGGGACACCAGATAATTCCACCAAGTTTCCGTCACACGGAAACTGCTACACTCAAAGTCCAATTAGTTTCCTGTGTCACGGAAACTTTAGGAATCATAAGGTTTCACGAGCTTCTATGTAGTTTCCCATAAAAGAAAACCTTAAGATTCCATCAAGTTTCCATTCCACGGAAACCACTACGCTTATATTCCATATGGTTTCCTGAGTTGAGGAAACTTTAGGAATCATGAGGTTTCCCGAGCTTCCATGTAGTTTCCTGTATAAGGAAACCTTAAGATTCCATCAAGTTTCCATTCCACAGAAACCACTACGCTCCGATTCCATATGGTTTCCTGAGTCAAGGAAACTTTAGGAATTGTGAGGTTTCCCGAGCTTCCATGTAGTTTCCCGTAAAAGGAAACCTAAAGATTCCACCAAGTTTCCATTCCACGGAAACCCCCTACGCTCCGATTCCATCAAGTTTCCTGATTCTGGAAACCAGTGGAATCTTCAGGTTTCCCATTACGGGAAACTACATGGATGTTCGGGAAACTTCAGGTTTACAGAGGTTTCCGTGGTTCGGGATACCTTATGGAATCGGAGCGTAGGGGGTTTCCGTGTCACGGAAACTTGGCGGAATAACCTAGCATCCGCTACGGAAACCACTGGGAAACATGATGTAAACTTGAGGTTTCCATGTGGTTTCCATAAAGTTTCCCATGATGGGAAACCACTTTTTTCACCCAGTGTAGGCTCCATTTTGTTGGACAAGATGTATAACCCAGTCAATGGAGTCATATTGTACAACTGAATTTTCTTTTGGAATATTCAAATTTATTGAATTGTCTCGAGGATAAGATAAGTCATGAATAATCCTAAGTTGACTGGATTCAGACTTAGGCCCTAACCCTAAAGGGGATAATATAAAATGATCAAATGGAGGGTAAGAGAAGGGTCCTGCAAAATATAAATACAGTGGATTATATTCCATAAAAGCAAAAAGTCTATAGCCTTAACATCATTTTGTTGGAGATAAAATACGTATTTGAAATGTGAAAAGTGAGTTGATAATAAATATTGCCAATATATGTTGTTGTTTTTTTTTTTTTTTGCGAAATTTAACATTGTTGTAATATTGTAACAAATATATAAATCAACTAGAGCAAAGCTCGTTGCAAAGCAACGAGTAGGTCTTCCGTCCTGTTTTGACCAGAAGTGACGTCAACAAAAGAAAGCAATGAGCTAAGTTGTCTCCGTTGACTTTATAATTTCAATTTTGCGTCAAAAACTTAAAAAATAAGCTATTTTTGGGTACTTCCGGTTTGACCGGAAGTGATGTTGACGGACGGAAAATTAAGTTTTTATGCTTCCAGTGACATGTGTTACCCAAAAATATGTCAAGAACGACAAAAATATGCATTTTCGTACTACTTCCGGTTTGACCGGAAGTGACGTCGCCGGATGTATTTTGACGACCCAGATAGATTAAACTTATCATTTTGAACAACTTTGCTTCTTTGACGTATTACAAATTCTTAATAATTTTTGAGATATAAAGGAAAAACTTTTGGCCCCTCTCGGCCCTTAATTATAGGGGCCAGCCCTTTTTCGAAAATATCGTATGAAAGATCAAGTGATTTTGAACAACTTTGCTTCTTTGACGTATTACAAATTCTTCATACTTTTTGATATATAAAGAAAAAACTTTTGGCCCCTCTCGGCCCTTAATTATAGGGGCCAGCCCTTTTTCAAAAATATCGTTTGAAAGATCAAGTGATTCTACACTTCTTTTGTTCTATATATCTTAACGAAATATTTGTATGTGAAAAGATATCGAAGAAAAAGTGTTAGAAATTTTAAAATTCTCGACATGCCCTTTTTCGGACCATAGCGAGCGTCGGCGTGCAGCACTTCCGGTGAAAATGAAATACGTATGTCACATCTACATATACTGCTTTATCTTTGCTGAAAAACTCAAGTTTCTATCCTAAGCCGTTTTTGAGAAAACTCGCGGACAAACTGACCCTCTGAAAATCACTAAATCGCGAAAATCTCAAAACTGGAAGTGACGTCATCAAAACAAAAAATTACATATCAGGTTTGTTTGATGTTCTATCAGTCCTGAAAGTTTCATGAAAATCGAGCGAGCCGTTTCCGAGAAATCGCGTGCACAAAATCGGTAAGAAAAAAAAACAATAATAACTAGATGAGATCTCGTTGCGAGCAACGAGTGGGTCTTCCGTCCAATTCTTGATGAGATAAGATAAGATTTTGATTGCGATTTTCATTCTAATATAATGATTTACCACAATCTGTAAAAAGACATTGAACATTAAAGACTTTTAAAAATCGGCCTTTTGCCCCTAACGGCCACTAATTTTAGGAATCAGCCCTCTTTATTCATATCATCTTAAAGCTCTTAAGATTTTGAAGATTTTTTGTTCAACAACTATTCAGAAATTGATTTTAGTTTTTGAGATATTAGCAAAAGAAATATTTAAGGGGCAACCCTTCAACACCCTAATAGGGACGTTTAGCAAAAAATGAAAGGTTGCATATTGTTCAGAACATTATTTTGAACATATTTTGTTCAATATTGCTTATCAAAATATTTCTCCCTTTCAAGATATCATAAAAGCATCAAAAATTTAGCATTCTGGCCCCTTGTGGCCCCTAATTATGAACTATACGACATAAAAATCATAATATTTAGATGTAGATGGTTGAGATGAACATCTTTGCATCAGTAATGTATTAAAAAATATTAACTGATAAAGACTTATCGATTGAAGACTTTTGGCCCCTCTTGGCCCCTAATTTGAGTGCCCAGCCCCTTTTTCAGGATCTCATCTTAAAGCTCTTAAGATTTTGAACATTTTGTGTTCAACAACTGTTTAGAAATTCCTTTTCGTTTTTGAGCTATTAGCAAAAGAAATATTTAGGGGCCAACCCTTCAACTCCTTAATGGGGTCGTTTAGCAAAAAATTAAAGGTAGCATATTGTTCAGAACATTATTTTGAACATCTTTTGTTCAATATTGCTTATCAAAATATTTCTCCATTTCGAGATATAAAGCATCAAAGATTTAGCATTCTGGCCCCTTGTGGCCCCTAATTATGTACTATACGACATAAAAATCATAATATTTAGATGTAAATGGTTGAGATGAACATCTTTGCTTCAGTAATGTATTACAAAATATTAACTGATGAAGAGTTATCGATTGAAGACTTTTGGCCCCTCTTGGCCCCTAATTTGAGTGCCCAGCCCCTTTTTCAGGATCTCATCTTAAAGCTCTTAAGATTTTGAACATTTTGTGTTCAACAACTGTTTAGAAATTCCTTTTCGTTTTTGAGCTATTAGCAAAAGAAATATTTAGGGGCCAACCCTTCAACTCCTTAATGGGGCTGTTTAGCAAAAAATGAAAGGTAGTATATTGTTCAGAACATTATTTTGAACATCTTTTGTTCAATATTGCTTATCAAAATATTTCTCCATTTCGAGATATAAAGCATCAAAGATTTAGCATTCTGGCCCCTTGTGGCCCCTAATTATGTACCATAAGACATAAAAATCATAATATTTAGATGTAGATGGTTGAGATGAACATCTTTGCTTCAGTAATGTATTACAAAATATTAACTGATATAGAGTTATCGATTGAAGACTTTTGGCCCCTCTTGGCCCCTAATTCGAGTGCCCAGCCCCTTTTTCAGGATCTCATCTTAAAGCTCTTAAGATTTTGAACATTTTGTGTTCAACAACTGTTTAGAAATTCCTTTTCGTTTTTGAGCTATTAGCAAAAGAAATATTTAGGGGCCAACCCTTCAACTCCTTAATGGGGCCGTTTAGCAAAAAATAAAAGGTAGCATATTGTTCAGAACAGTATTTTGAACATCTTTTGTTCAATATTGCTTATCAAAATATTTCTCCATTTCGAGATATAAAGCATCAAAGATTTAGCATTCTGGCCCCTTGTGGCCCCTAATTATGTACCATACGACAAAAAATCATAATATTTAGATGTAAATGGTTGAGATGAACATCTTTGCTTCAGTAATGTATTAAAAATATTAACTGATGAAGAGTTATTGATTAAAGACTTTTGGCCCCTCTTGGCCCCTAATTTGAGTGCCCAGCCCCTTTTTCAGGATCTCATCTTAAAGCTCTTAAGATTTTGAATATTTTGTGTTCAACAACTGTTTAAAAATTCCTTTTCGTTTTTGAGCTATTAGCAAAAGAAATATTTAGGGGCCAACCCTTCAACTCCTTAATGGGGCTGTTTAGCAAAAAATGAAAGGTAGCATATTCTTCAGAACATTATTTTGAACATCTTTTGTTCAATATTGCTTATCAAAATATTTCTCCATTTCGAGATATAAAGCATCAAAGATTTAGCATTCTGGCCCCTTGTGGCCCCTAATTATGTACCATACGACATAAAAATCATAATATTTAGATGTAGATGGTTGAGATGAACATCTTTGCGTCAGTAATGTATTACAAAATATTAACTGATATAGAGTTATCGATTGAAGACTTTTGGCCCCTCTTGGCCCCTAATTCGAGTGCCTAGCCCCTTTTTCTGGATCTCATCTTAAAGATCTTTAGATTTTGAACATTTTTTGTTCAACAACTGTTTAGAAATTCCTTTTCGTTTAAGGGCTATTAGCAAAAGAAATATTTAGGGGCCAACCCTTCAACTCCTTAATGGGGCCGTTTAGCAAAAAATGAAAGGTAGCATATTGTTCAGAACATTATTTTGAACATCTTTTGTTCAATATTGCTTATCAAAATATTTCTCCATTTCG